CTGTCTTACTGCCCACCCGACGTCGGTGGCAAATGTGAAATTATTATGTCGATAATTATTAACCAGTCGCGCGTACTGGAACCCGCCAGCCGCAGTACCCGCACCAGCAGCAGCAGCAGCAGCCGCAGCAGCAGAGTGACCGTCGATTTGCGTGATCCGATGATCATCATTCTCATCTTCCAAATCGGTATCATAGTGTGCATGGCGCACGGCATACTCACGAGGACGGGGAGAAGAAGGGAGAGAGTCCACCTCCCACTCTCCCTGCGGTCCATCTTCCTCTTCCTCTTCAGCACCGTCTTCGTCGTCTCCCTCCACGGACTCGCCGCCATATCCCAGCCCATGCTCTTCTTCTCCATCTCCAAACTCTTCTTCTTCTTCCTCCTCTCCCTCTTCTTCCTCATGCTCCTCCTCCCCCTCCTCCTCCTCCTCATCAGCGACATCCGCATCCTCCTCCTCCTCCTCCTCCTCCTCTCCTTCTTCATCTTGCCTCACTCGCTTATAGAACAACACTTGAGCAGCGCACGACGTTACCTCCCCCTCCCCGACAATCGATGCCTCCCCTCCTTGGGAGTACTTGTACCACCTCTCCTCTTTGGGATGCTTCGCGTAGGTCGCCGGAGTGGCGCTCATTGCGCCCTCCACGTGGCAGGTGCTCACGGCATACAAGTCGTAGACCCACTGCACGGCTTCCGCGCCATCCGCCGCCGACGCAGGCGTCGTCGGCCCTATCACGTGCTTCGTCACATCGAATCCCCTGAGAGGAAACTCGACGCTCCTGTCATTAGCCGATCCCGACCGCGACCGTACAAGATGCACGACCAGGATCTCCGGCAGGCGCCAAAACTCCGCCTTGCGCGCCGCATCGCGCGGTTGCTTGCACCTAGGGCACAGTCTCTGTTCCAAAGTAATCTTCAGAGAAGCTTCCAGGCATGCGCTGAGAGAAGCGCGCGAATGAGACGCGGGGACTGAGGCCGCCGCCGCCGTTCCGCTGTCATGCGCACGTGGCAATCTGTCCATTCTCTCGATATCATACTCCATCGACAATCCTTTCTCCCCCCAGTTGAGGCACACGTGGACGCATTTGCGCGTGGCCCACTTCATCGCCGACCCCAACTTCAACGAGCTAGGGAGGGGTTTCCCCGCCTCCACTAACCCCTCTCTCACTAGGCCTCTGTCGTCGCTACAGTAGATCTGATAAGCTGCGGCCGCCCAACCAGGCGGTGGAGGAAAGGCGGGAGGCGAATCCCGACTCGAGACTCCCGCCAAAACGCCCTGGCCAACCTCCATAGTCGTTGACGTCATCGTCGTGGTGGTCATCACGCCAAAACCATGTACTCTCCTTCCTCTTCTGCGCAATTGCAGACACCCCTCTGCTTCATCTTCCTCCTCCTCCTCCTCCTCATCCTCCTCTTCCTCTTCCTCCTCTTCCTCCTCTTCATCTGCTTCCGTGGCGAACACCCTCAGCCTCCCTCCTCCCCCCGCCCCCCTCCTCCATCCCACTCCACTCCTCCTCACCCTAGATTCTGCCGCCGCCGCCGCCGCCGCCGCAGATACTCCGCGCCTGCTCCTCATTATCATCCCCCCGCCCCCTCCTCCTCCTCCTCCTCCTCCTCCTCTCTTCAACGGCTTCAACAGCGTTTCCACAATGCGCGCCAATTCTGCTCCAGTTTTTAACCCTCCTTCGGGCAGTACCCCAATCAGTGGAACCCCAAACAGTTTCCACGAGGCCATCCTTTTCAGACTGTACGGACTCGGACCCGCCTCTTCTAGCCGGCTGTGTAGAACGAAGAGCAGCGCCGACCGGTCGGCCGCCTTCGGCACCCGGTACCCCACCAACACGTCATCCTCCTTGATGGAAAACAGCGCCTCCCTCCCATCCTCCAGCATGCGGAAGATTCGGTGCCCATAGATCTCAGTCAACAAGAGCTTCTCATGCGTCCGTAGCCCGCAAGCCCTAGCTATGGCGAACGACAGGTGCTGCACCTTGTGCTGTCGGTTCACCGTCACCGTAATCGGGGTGGGCGGCGTCGATCCATCCCAACTAAACACAGTGGCTGTAATCGAGCGAGTGGCTGACGTGGCAACAGGCAGCGACAGACACGTGTAAGGTTCAAATCGTACTTGAGGCCGATCACACTGACAGCAGAAAAGAGTAGACTTGCATTGCCCTTGAAACAAATCAACAACGATAGAGTCGTTCGCGGCGGTATGCTGACTCCAGGACTCCGTTGCCCGCTCCTCGTCACCACGGCGTACATCGATCCTTCTCCCTCCTCCTCCTCCTCCTCCTAGTCCTCCTCCTCCTCCTCCTCCTCCTCCTCTTCCTCTCTCTCCCTTACCACCACCACCTTCTCCCCCTACTCCCCCCTCCTCTTCTTCCTCCTCCTCTTCATCGACCCCTGCTGCTGTCGATACTCCTCCCCCTTCTGCTCTACCGCCCAGCTGCCGGTGCACAACGCACTGCTGCTGCCCTTCTTCTGCCCCATCGCTGCAGCCGCTGCCGCCGCCGCTCGATCGCTGTCTCGCGCGATTGACATCTTCATGCAATTTGTCTAGCAAGAAGGCGAGAAGTTTCTGGACGTTCATTTCCTGCCACGTGTCTCCTCCCAAAGAAAACTGCGGCGTGAATCCGGCCCGCTCCGCCGCGTCTTTGAAACTCCGCCCCCCTCCTCTCCTTCCGGGCATCGTCAACGACAACTGTCCCCCCGTGCTCCACATCTCTCTAATCAACTCCCCGAACGCCAGCGCCAGCTCCCCGCCCATCCCCAGCGGATTCGTCCAATTGATCGACCGGGTGAAATCCCTGCTCTTGAAGAAATCTACTAACTGAGGGGTATGTGCAAGGCATTGCAGCAGACTGTAAAAGCCAGTCTCTGTATATGCGGAGGTTGTCGGCGTGGAACTTGCCATTGTCGTCGTCAATCTCAAGGTTTCTTCCGTAGATTGGCCCGAGCAGATCTCCGTACTCCCCCATGTCCCCCCCCAGCCTGTCTCTTATACACATCTAGATGTGTATAAGAGACAGCGGCGAGCGTCTCACCATCTATCGCTTCCTCTTCCCTCTCCCCTTCCCTTTCCTCCCACCCCGCTTCCTTTCTTTCTCCCTATCCCTCCCTCTCCCCTTCCTTCACCCACCCCTCGGCGCCCCCCCAACCTTCCAACGGTATCCCTAACCCCGTGCGTGCACACCGTATTGATCCGATGAACGATTGACTGAATGACTGGTTGATTGATTGCTTGATTGCTTACTTGATTGATTGATTGATTGATTGATTGATCGATCGATCAACTACTCGATCGATCAATCAATCAATAAGCCGTGTGACAATGCTGCTGCATGTCTCTCTGTCTTCCACAAGCCGACAAAACCGATGGCACCTTATAACATATAAAAGCCGAAGAAAACGTTTTCCGATTCGTCACCGAAAATAAGGTAGTTTCGTTCGCCACGCCGGTCCTAAAAATGCAATGACGACCCAAAAAACTCCTTGCTTCACCCAAAACATCCCCTCCATTTTCAACACCACCCAAAATCCTTGCTTTACAATCAATCTGCTGTGGTGTGTGTGATGCTTTCATCACCAATTCGCACAGGACGCAATATAAATCTTACCTTAGTCCTTAGTCTTGCTTTAAGACGTCGAGATGAGTGGACGGCTAGTTGATGGTAGTTGCTCGATTGATTATTGCTTTTGCTTTTCTCTTTTTTTTTGGGGGGGGGGATCGATGGCCGTGCCGATGGGCCTGTAGACAGTCTCTATATTGTTGGCTCAGAACCCCCTGCAGAAGATGCAATTGAAATACTAGTAGTAAGCAGCCGTCGATTTCCTTTCTCTGACTGGCGAACAGGGCGGATCCACCTTAATTGAAAACCATCAGCAACCCGCAGTCGTTGAAAGCAAGTTGATTGACGACACAGGCCTGTGAGGAGGAGGAGGAGGAGGAGGAGGGGGAGGAAATTAGCTGAGGAGAACGAAAGAGAGATTTACGGACAGAGGAAGTGGCGGCACTTGGTCGTGACCCCATTCCGTCCCATATCAGGCGGTTCACTTATTTCCGGGGAGTGAGAGAGAGGGGGCAAAGAAGACAAACAGCAAGAGAGAAGAAAGAGTGGGAAGAGAAAGAAACAGAAAAATTAAAAAAAAAATAAAAAAAACAGGAGAGAAGAGAGGGGGCAACAACCAAGATGATAGACGAGCAAAAAAGAATGAGATAGAGAGGAGAGAAGGGGCACACGGAGAGAGAAACCGAGAGAGGAAGGGAGGGTGATGGAGCGAGCGAGCGAGAGAGAGAGAGAGAGAGAGAGAGAGAGAGAGAAAGAGAGGAGACAACAGGCACACGAGGAAACAGGTCAGGCAAGTGGTTGGAGACAAGTGATGATGACGAAGAGTCCGACGAGGTGAGTCTAGTCGCCGCCACGTGTCCACGCACCCACGTGGCAGTCACGGGGACCGTTGATTCCCGGTGGCAGCCGGTGTGAAACCCGGTCAGGAACGATGATGCTGAGTCAGCCGCAGCAGCGGCGAATCGACTCGGGAACCACCACTCGTCCGTCCGTCATCCACCCACATCAGCAAATTGCTTCTCCTACAAGCATGCCACGTGTCACCATTGATTAACACTGATTTCTGAGCACCACATACAGAATTTTGCCGCCAAAACTTCGTCGGACAGAACACACCTGACCGCCGGCTGTTGCTGCTGCTGCTGCTGTAGTCACACCAACTCCCGGCGTTTCCACACCACCCCGCAGACTCGGCTCTTGCTGATGACCGTTGATTGGCACTACGTATCCACCGTCGGCCATAACCAGATCGTCGCACTGAACGACACCGGTGCAATTCAAAGTCCATGTCGTTGATCGGACGTCTGGCCGTCCGTGTATTCTGAATAGGATGATGCCACGTGTCCGGCCCTCGTGGGCTTCAAGTCAGACATGCAGAAAACAAAACGACAGCCGCGGCAAACGCACCGCCAGTCAGGAATCGAGCTCTCGACCTCGAGCCTCGCGCAGAGCGGCGCTCGCCGGCGGCCCAGGAAGACATCCCCCCCCCCCCCCCCAACCACCTCCCTCCCTCCCTCCCTCTTCTTTACTACTCACTTTCCCCCCTCGTGCTGCCACGTGTCCACCATCTCTTTCGCTGATGATAGCCTTTTCTACTAATTTGCTATGTCATTTTCGAATAATCGACCGTTTGGAGGCCATAAAGGCCGACTCTCATAAAGGTCGACTCTCAAAGTTCATTACCGCCTTTGATGATATAAACCCCAATCCATACAATCACGACGCGACAACAGGACAGGACCGTCAAAAGCGCTTGACAAAGTCCTTCATCCAATCCATACTAAGCCAAGGTCAAGGGAGAGAAGGGAAACTTCACAAGCTGGCTATGGCTATGGCTATGTGGCTATGTGGCTATGGCTACGGCTCTAGCAACGTCCCAAATCACACAAAATTCAAAAAGCAGACGGAAAAAAGAAAAGAAAAGAAAAAAATCTTAAGAAATTCCGAAATCAATACAACACTTGGCTATGGCGGACGGGTGGCAGGACGTGACGTGGCGCCAGGAGCCAGATGATGGCCCCCCACCCGCCCAACACGGCCAATCACCAGCCCGCTACATACTATGTACGAACGTGGCAGGTCTCTAAGGTGAAAAACGTTTACGCCTCTCTCAGCAGGGAAGTTGGCTGTGCTGCTACCGGTAGTCTAACCGATACCGATTTCCTACATCCATCTGCCTTCAATTCCGGCCAAACGCTGCATGCATCTGACCGCAATCACGTCCACAGCTCGGTCGAAAACGTTTTTCGTCTGAGTGTACGCTGCCTAAGAAGAACTACTGTCCCTCCCATCGCCAGAAGACGAGGCAACTATGGTCGATCACCGGCATCCTCCTCCTACCTCCTGTCTAGAAAACGCCGACGGAAGATGACACCCTCACGGCCGCCTCCGGAAAAAGAGGGAGGGCAGGCGGGCATGATTGACGAAGAAGAGGATCGGGCAGGGGCACATGTGTGTTTGCCACGTCGTATTAACGGAGATACGCAAGATCTCCTTCAATCTGATGATACTGGGATGATGATGATGAGCAACAACTAGTCCTTCGCCACGTGTTTGGGAGAAAGACCGGCCCCGCCTCCTCACCACTCCACGAATGCTCGCTCCCCCTACCTTCTTCGGCCGTGCACCCACCCACAGCACATGCTTACGTGTCATCTACGCATTGAAAGATGCTTACGTGTCGTCTACACGTTGAAAGATGTTTACGTGTCGTCTACACATTGAAAGATGCTTACTTGTCGTCTACACATTGAGAGATGCTGACGTGTCGTCTACACATTGAAACATGCTTACGTGTCGTCTACACATTGAAAGATGCTTACTTGTCGTTCACCAATTGAAAGAAGGCGGGCGGGAAGGGAGAGAGAGAGACGACTACGTCGAATTTTGATTTTGGCGGGCTATGGCGATTCTTTCGAGATTTGGCTATGGAGATCGTGTAAGGGGAACAACCCCGCCAACAACTGTGTTGCTGAGGCGTCAGCGGGAAAAGCCAATCAAGAGGAAGAAGAACGAAAGTTTCTGGTCGTTGCTTCTGTTGGGAGGAGGTCCAAAATTTTGTTTCCGTTTGTCCTCTTCGGTTCTAGGGGAAAAATAAAAGAAAAGAAATCAAAGAAAAAGAAAAACTTAAAACTTTGGGCCTCGTCATTTTTGCCTGTGACCGCTTCCGCCCCCCCGGCCAGTTGTCCGCAATCGGCGCCAATTTGAGCATCGACACACCACTCTCGAAATGTGCAAAATGAGAATGAACATCTCGCTAGAAAATGGCCAGATGCAGATGCGCCCGCCACATTTTTGTTTTTTGTGGCGAGGCCCTTTTTCGGACCCCGCTACGTTGCCCGCCCCGCTTGCCAGGCACATATATATGGGGCCTCGCTCCAACGCATCGCATTGTAAGTAAACGTATCTGGAACTCAATGTAGTCCTGATACGCTCCAAATGTGGGGTCAGCAGGAACGTATCCGTTCATGGATCTCTCCAGATACACGTCAGATATTGTGTCATTGCGCGAGGCCCATCCTATAGGGCATCGCCACACCACTCTCGAATGTGCAAAATGAGAATGAAATTTCCGCTACAACATGACCAGATGCGCCCGCCTCAATTTTGTCTGGGCATCGCCGCACCACTCTCGAATGTGCAAAATGAGAATGAACTTCCCGCTCCAACGTGACCAGATGCGCCCGCCTCAATTTTGTCTTTTTCACATTTCGAGAGTGGTGTGGCGAGGCCCATAGAGCCGCCGATTGCGAAGATGGGCAGCCAAGCATCCGATTTGTCATGTAACACAAATGATCCCGATATTTTTTATTTTATTTTGTGTGTGATCCCGATATTCTCTCCTTGCCCGTCTCAGCTGTTAGAAGTACCCAGATGCCATCAAAGTGCCTACACATATTTCTACACTTGTTCTCCTCTGTTTTTGTGAAAATGCGCAGATGCCCTCAAAGTGCCTGGCAATATCGCCACTTCGATCCGCAGAAAGTCCGATAGACTGCGGCCTATTTTGAGGCCTATTTGGACCGGGCTATTCGTAGTATAGGAGTGTGGATTTTTTATTTTTTATTTTTGTATGGTGTGCCGTCGCTTTTTTTGTTGTTCGCCTTTGATAAATACCGGGCAGTCGTCGGCTGGACGACCTTTATTAGGTGCTTGCACCGGAGAGAGTCAACGCAACACAACGTCAGGATCGAGGAGTGAATGGTGGGTTGGGGATGTGGAGGTGATGGCAGTGGCAACTGTCGTACTCCACCCTTTTCAGTTGGTACCTACTCGGTGGGTTCAGATACAACAATCGCATCAGTCTTGTCTCACGCATTGGGACCTACCAGTCACTTCAGCTCCAACCTCTTCAGGAAGTCCTAACCTGCAGATCTTCAGTTTTCAAGCACGGGCCTATTTTCTTAAGATTCAATTCTCTAATTTTCAACAATCCATGGGTGGGAATTTGCGGAACCAAGATCAAGAGAGGAACTCACCCTGCAGGAAGGAGTCCCTCGGAGGACCGGCCACCACTGGATCCGGGAGCAGCAAGTGTATATGTAACTGGCAAAGGACCGGTCGCAGCAGGCTGGTTTGTCTCACGCGGAGCGACTTCGGGATTTCGTCCGCCGGCAGCCGCGCTCATCGCGTAGGCGAACCTGCAGTCACACCACGCGCACCAGTTTCGCTCAGAGCCCGAGTTGTTTTCCTCACCAGATATTGGTGAAGCGGACCCACCCGCCCTTGATATTCCCGCGGTGTGTGGGCCTCCAGCCCCAACTCTTTGACTCACTTCTGAGCAATCTGGCATCATCAAGGCTTGGCAATTTTTTCATTATATCTCGACGAGGCCCAAGCAATGGTGTAGCGTGCCAGGTCTTGTCCACACTGGATGTATATCTTCTGTACTCGGTTAACGGCCTTCTCATTGCTGTGATTTTCTGGATTGGGGATGTGGAGATGATGGAGGCTGTGGTGGTGTAGCGTGCCAGGTCCTTATAGGGCCTCGCTGCGCTACTCTAGACTCTCCAAATATTTCGAGAGTTCGGCTACCATTGTCAGGGAGGAGAGCCTCTCGAAATACTGGACTTGGCTGCACTTACTCTAGAACCTGTGACACTACATGAACTCTCGAAACCTTGGGCATCGTCCGTCTCGACAGAAGAGTTGCACCACTGCGCTACGGGACAAAGTCTGACGGCCGGGACAGGAGGTCCACTCTCGAAAAACGACCCTGTCAGCGGGCAACTCCCGGACACTTGCAAATTCGGTTTTTGCAAGCGGGAGACTCTCGACGTTTCGAGAGTGGCGTTGTAGTGTGGCTTCTGATAGCTCTCGATCGGGTTTCGAGAGTTTCCCGATCGAGAGTAAGTGCAGCGAAGACCCACTCTCAAAACTTCGAGAGTCTAGAGTAGTGCAGTGAGGTCCATAGTGGAGGTACTCTTAGGTCGAAAAGGGGATCCCATAGTCTACCTGCTGACAAGGGATCAGAAATATTTTCGGTTGTTTCTACTAGTCCCCTCGTGCGTGTCAGCAGTGGATTGACCGCCGCAGCGCCGTTGCCCTTCCCCCAACAAGCAGTAATATTTTGGAGATTGTTTTTTTGTTTTTTTGTTTTGCGGCATCTTCAGTTGGTTTGTCCATGGTCCGTACTCTGTGTGACAGCTGGTAGGGTGCCGTGAAGAAAGCGCCCATTCGCCCTGGGACACCGCTGCCACTTGTGCAAAAGGCCCGGAAGGGTCGGCCCCATGGAGTCAAAAAAAAAAAATTGTGCCGAACGACACGCAGACCACTTGGACGAAGCTTTTCCGACTTTTTCTTCGAAGCTCCCTGTCAGATCAGCACATGAGTCYGCATGAKATSYMYGSMCCTCGGCGCGYMACTCAYGCAGACTTTCTCTCTCTCTCTCTCTCTCTCTCTCTCTCTCTCTCTCTCTCTCTCTCTCTCTCTCTCTCTCTCTCTCTCTCTCTCWYWCMCAAGACAAAAAACTTCAGGTACCAGGACCGCCCGCACTCTGTAAAGACTATCTCGAGCTCGAGGCTTGTTCCTATTTCAGTACTATGAGTCCACGTATAGGTGCTTGTTTGCAATTTCTGAGCTTTCAACCGTGCACCTTTACTCAGCAAGGCGATTCAGAACATAAATTAAGAAAGCACCCAACATGTATAGTTTGACCTAAAATAAGACTAATATTTGTTTGCTCTGACAGAACTCAGTGGAACGCTCCCCGATACTCATTGGCCATGTCTTTGACAAGGGACGGGGTCATTCTCAGTTTGCTCTTAGACTGTCGGGTGTACCTTCAATACCAACTGGCCCTCTTGCATCACCAAGGGGAGCCGATTATGCTTAAAGCCCCCTTTGTGTGAAGTGGGAGTGTGGATATTCGAAGGGGTTTTTATTTCGCTTAGCATACAGGGTCATAGTCCCACGTCAATGGCCATTGAGGCT